TTGAAGCCGGTGGTCTATAGACTTCCTTTGATTACCCACTGCTGTTAAGTTCAAGTTGATGCCTTTGAGCTGTGGTTTTAGAGAAGAGTACTGAACATCTCATGGACCGCCAAATGAACAAACATGTTTAGAGAAGGTGCGGCTAGAGTGTTCCTGGAGGCAAGGATGGCAAAGTTTCTAATTACATACTTTGGACATGTTGCTAGAAAAGGCTATTTCTTGGAGGACATTATGCTTGGAAAAGTGAGGGACAGCCAAAGAGAAGATGACCTTCAACAAGATGAGTTGACACTTATAGTGATTGGGCTTGAGGGTGTTAGAGATTGAAAAGATGGCACAGGATAGGACAGCGTTCAGATCTGTTGTTTGTAGGGTCCTTTGAGTTGTCAACAACAACTCGCTAGAGAAAAAGACCTGGCCATCTCATTGCATGAAGATCGTAGCTGGGAAGGCGTATGGAGCTGCTCTGCTCTGGCTCACACAGTCGTTGAGTGAGAATCGACTCGGCAGTACCCGTCAACAGCAGTGTGCCAGGCCCTGTTTTAGCACCTGGCTATGTGATAGTACACCAAACAGTCAAGGTCTCTGCCTTCCTGGAAGTTACCGTCTCTTAAGAGGAAGGCAGACAAAATTCATACCGTATCAGAAGATACTGTGCTGCAGAGAAGAGTAGAGCAGGTAGTGGAGTAGGAAGATGCCAAGAGTGAAGATATGCTGTTCAAGGTAGAGGAAACATCACTGAGGTAACAGTGAGTAGTGGGGTCAGAGGAAAAGTGAGCAGGAATGCAAGAACCACATAGAGAAAGATACTCGGGGTGACCAGCCCTTGCATTACATGCACTGGCAGGTCAGCTAAGCAAAAGACTAAGAGCTGACAGAGCAGCCTGGGGAGCATAGCCTTGGTGAGTACCACATGGGTGGCGTGGAAGGACAGCATCCTGGGGTGTTAGGCTCGAGGGCGAAGAAGTGGAGACAGCAGGTGCAGACAACCTTCTAAGGAATTTTATTATCTAGAGAAGCAGAAGAGTGGATGGAGGTGTGGGGCCGAGAAGAGAATGTTAAGATGGGAGGGATTTCTACCTGTTAGTATGCCACTGGTGATGAGCAGTGGAGGGGGCAGAAATTGATGGAGGAGAGAGCAAGGATAGTTGTGTAAGTGATTCTGGAAGAGTGAGAGAGGGTGGAGTTTACTGCACTGGTTAATAGACGTGGGGAACACGACTGTCAAGGAATACCTTGGAAGAATCAGCCAGAATCACCTTTTTTTCTTATGTCTTAGCAAGCCCTTTGGGGTCACCTGTGGGAGGCTGCTGTACCACAGGTTTATAGAGGGGAGTTGTGATGTCTCCTAATGCAAAACCTTTAAAGGCCTGAGGAACTTCCATTGTAGGCTTTGCCTGGGGTCTTGGCAACTAATATAATTTCTCTTCATCCCTATCAGACTCCACCTCATGTGCATACTGTCTCACCCATAAGTGTGTTATTTGTTGCCATATCCAACCCCTGGGGCCTGTGAAGCTGAGAGTTTTTAAGTAAGCTGTTGTGTATTTAAAATAATGCATCCTGGGGATTTGAGTCTTAGAAGGTCCCATTTAACGATTCTATTCTCTCCTGATATGCACATCAAAAAAACTTCTCCAGGAGGGTAAAAAGGAAAGTTACAGACTGGGAAAAATATATTTGGGAATAACATATCTGATAATGGACTCATATCTAAAATTTATGGAATACTCTAGCACCTCAACAAGAAAAAGGTAAACAACCCATTCACAAAATGAGCACAGGATATGAACAGAGACTTCACCAAAGAAGGAATTCAGATGGCAGACAAACACAGAAGAAATGTTCAAAATCCCTAGCTGTCAGAGAGATGCAAATCAATACAACCATAAGGTAACAACATCTCACCCCAGTGACTAGAGCAAAGTTTGGCAGAACAGCAAACAACAAATGCAGGCTAGGTTTTGGAGAGATTGGAACCCTTATTCACTGCTGGTAAGAATGTAAAATGGTACAGTGCCTATGGAAGACAGTATGGTTCTTTCTCAAAGAGTTGGAAATAGAAATACCATTTGACCCAGTAATTCTCTACTAGGAATATACTCTTAAAAAAAAAAAGAGTACATGCACACCCATGTTTATTGCTGCATTATTCACAATAGCAAAGAGATGGGAGCAACACAAGTGCCCATCAACAAATAAATGGATAGGAAAACTATGGTATATTCACACAATGGAATACTACACAGCACTGAAAAACAAGGAATTAATAAAATATTACACAGCCTGGGTGACCCTGGAGAACTTTATGCTGAGTGAGATATCTCAGTCACAAAAGAACAAATACTACCTAGTGCCATTGTTATAAAATAGGACAGAAATGGGGGTTGGAGGAAAACTAAGAAAAGAAGAGATAAATAATGAATACTCTATTGAAACAGATGAAGGAAACAACTATTTAAAAGGCATTATTTGTATGAAAACAGTCCAGAATAAGAGGTGCATAGTAAAGTGGACTGGGGGGCAGGGGGAGGGAGGAAATTATGCAACAATGAACCAGTATTCTTTTAAAAAAGAAAAAGTGAACTAATGTGGGGTAGGGAAGAAAATGTGCAACAATGAATGAATGAAAAGCCACTTCCCTGTAAACTTTTGATAAAATCACAATGTTAAAAAGAAAAAAAAACAGTGTGTCCAAAGCATAATGTTCCCCATGGGGAGTTCTGATTGGGGAAGTAGAGTCCTTGACTTGATAGTGTCTGTCAGAGGAAGAAGGTCAGTAGATTCCTGTGAATTCTTAGCTGCCCCATGTCTGGAGCCCCGCTGTCTAGTCCCTGCCTAGATCTTCCATCAAGAAGCAAACAGAACTGGAATTATAGGGGGGAAACTGAAATACCCCTTGCAGGCCGGGCACTGTGCCAAATGCTTTACATAGATTATCTCATTTAATCTTTAAAACAGCCCCATAAAAGACACACTTTTATTGCCCCATTTTACAATGAAGAAAGTAGGGAACTAGAACAAAGTGATGGAACTAAGACTCAGAACTAGGTCTATTTAACTCTAAAATCCTTGAAGTGGCTTCCCCCTCATTTAATTTAACCAAGGAGGCAAATGCACACATCATTGGAATTTAAAAATCCTGAAAAGTGCAGCATGAAAAGCAGTTGGCCGCCCCGGTCCTAAGTGTCTTACCACCCCTCCACAAACCTGAAACCTCCCAAACAAACCCTTGGCCATTGAGTCACTTCTGACCCACCGTGGCCCAATATGCTGAACCTTTTTAGGATGCACAAAAGATGATTCATTAGAAATAGAGTACAAGTCTTCAAGGTGATGCTATGCATAGAAATCAATTCCAAAGGAACCTGTTACCAATGTGTACTTTAGGTGTTTCTTTAAAAATAAAAACTCCACTGTAATCTCAAAGGCATGCAGTTCGAATCCACCAGATGTTTGGCTGGAGGACAGGCAGTCTCTTCCTATGCCAGTCAGATCTGACTTAAAGGCACACAGCAAGAAAAAAAATAAATAAAAATTCATGGTTTTGAGGTCTTCTGTAGGATAATACCTTCAGGTTCTGTAAGGATTATTAACATGGTGATTCTTAATGCAAAATTATATGCATTTTTTGTGTACATACATGACGTTTTGGTGTATTTTGTTTTGTTGCTTCAAGGGTCTACAATTAGAGCCACAGTGGCAACAGACTTTATAAACATCCGAAGCTCATTTTCACACATGTTCTTAGAGGGATGAAAGGGTGATGCTACCTGGCTCAGCATCTGGTGAGAGTCCTGGATCTGATCAGTTCAGGCATTAGTCTCAGGGGCTCTGCGGGGCCTCCCCAGTCCTTTTACTGAGACCAATAGGAAAGTTGACAGGGTGAGGGGCCAGGGAACATACTGGAATCTTCAGTGAAAGAACAAACCACTGAACTAGAGAGGGACCTGCCCAGTGCTGTCAGTCTGAAACAGACTGCCTGATTCTGATGAATATCCACTCAGATGAAAGTGGCTGAGTCTTCTCAACCTTCTCGTTGGCTTTCAGGAGACTGGTTCCTCTCAAGGTCTGACACAGTCAGGTGCCGAGGAATCCAGCGGGGCCCTGTGAGCAGGGTAGAGCTCCTTGACAAAGCTGGCAGCTCTGGGCCTGTATCGAGAGCTGACCCAGGTCAGGGATGGGCCAATGGGGATTCAGTAGGTGCAGTGACTGAAAAGGTTTGAGTCCTTGGTCAGGCTGGACGTATGACTGAGCTGAGAAGGAGAAATTCCCTTTATAAAAATAATACCCAGCAATAATCAAGTTAGCATTCAGAAGAAACCTAGGCAAAGCTGAATAGCATGCTGATCTTTTCCTGAGTAAATCCTGCATGTAACAGTAGAGGAGGATAGTATGAGAATGAAAAATGACCACATATAAGCTCTTCTGGAAGGAAATTCACTGTTTGATAAAATCCACTAATTGGTTGACTTTTAAAAAAAAAGTCAAGAGTCTAGCATGGAATTTCTCTAAGAATTTGGTTATTTTGCTCTGAATTAAGCTAACCAGTACACAAAGCCTGTGTCCTCTGCCCATGTCATTTCCAGGGCAGCCTGAGGGTCCCCGTCGGCTCTCTGAATTTAGCACGTTGCTCTGTGAGAGCTGTGTCCACCTCGGCAGAGTGCAGGACCTCACGTCACAGTGGATTTGGTGGGCTAGGTCCTACCAGAGTCGGGGCAGAAAGTGGGGCTCAGAGCTTCCAGGAGTCAGCACTGCACCCCTTCCACTAGGATGGAGTGTGTTGGGCACCCCCACTCTGCCTTTCCTTGGCTCCTGAGTTACCGTAGCAGTGACCGTTCCCTTTTCCCCAGCTCAGCTTTCTGGAAGGACTGACATCCGGGAGGGCAGGTGGCGGTTTGTGGACCTTCTGCTTCTGCTCTTGGCAGTGCCCTTGTGAGGGGGTTTTCTGGGCATTCATGCAAGTGCTCTCCCGCTTGCCCCCTTTCCTTCCCCTCCAGCTTGTCACAGTTCAGTGAGGAGAACATGATGGACCCCTACAACCTCGCCATCTGCTTCGGGCCCTCGCTGATGTCAGTGCCCGAGGGCCACGACCAGGTGTCCTGCCAGGCGCACGTGAACGAGCTGATCAAAACCATCATCATCCAGCATGAGAACATCTTCCAGAACGCCAGGGAGCTGGAGGGCCCCGTCTACAGCAGAGGTGGAAGCATGGAGGATTACTGGTAAGGGGCTCGGGCCAGAGGAGGCGAGGGGTCACACACACACACTGGCCTGGGGGCCAGATGGCCAAGTGAAAACCAGCGGGAAATGCCCAGATCCTCACAGCCTCACACTCTTCAGGCTGCCAGGATGTGGGGGTGGTGGAGGCTGTCCCCACCGTGTCAACCAACAGAGGAAGTGCCATTTCACGCCACCTCCTTTTCTTAGACATTCTGAATGCCATTCTGAAAGACAATGGCAATAGCAAGAATGGTAACAATCCTGAAGTCAGTAGTGTCCTGTCCCCAGCTGTGTGCTGGAGAACCGTGATCCTGGGTCCCTACCCCGGACAACTTGGAAATGAGACATTGCCTCACTGTGACATTTGTAACAGGATAGTTTGAAATGACTTAAGACATTTGTAACAAGCAAGGAGAGGAAGCACTATTTTCACCTACTTGGGCACATCCCCAGTCATAGAAATTAGGACTGGTTTCTATGAGGCAAGGTCTTTCATGACAATAGGTGGGGAGTGGAGCTCTTAAAGGAATCCATAGGGCACATCTTTGCGCTACAGAATCACTGTGTTCCTTTTATAGATGAAGTCGCTGCAGCCAGAGAGGCCAGTGACATCATCTTTTGAGCTGCCCTGTGACAGGGATTCCCATCCACTAGCCCACACAGCCTCCCGGGATTCCACCTCTAGTTCATTTTTCCACCAGCCACAAAGATAGCTGTCTCCCTCCTTCACTCCCTGATGTCTCTTACCTCCTCCACTCTCCTGCTAAACGGTGTTTCAGCCTGAGCTGGAAGCATAAGCCAGTCCAAATCAGATTCTGTCTGAATTCAACATCTGGAACCAATTCTGCCAGCCCCATTGCGATTGACTGAGGTAAGGGAGGACAGGGAAAGTTATTTACTCAATTAGAAGCCCATTGGTCCACACTTGTCCCTCGCTCCTACATAAGGAACCTCTTACTGAAAGAGTAAAGGAGCCATAGTCGTGTATCAGAGCATCATAGTGCAGGAGAGATCCCTGCGTCCACCTCCCTGCTCTATTGCAGATCCCAGCATCTGGATCAGAACTGGAAAAACACAGGCTTGTCAGCCTGGAGAAAAGGCTCTTTGTTACTGACAGATGGTTGGTGGTGACTAGGGAGGTGGTTGGTCAGTTTGGCCTCAGCCTGCTGATAAGCTACAAGGAACTTGGGTATGAGACCTGCAAAGTTGGGTTTTTCGCCCCTTGTGTAAACCATTCAACCCTTGAAAAGCTTTAGAATAGCAGTCCCATATCTGGCTTTACTTCTCTCCTAAAGTTGAGCAAAACGTCTACTCCCTTACCGTCCACTGGAGGCTATTCCTTAGAATACAGGGTTCCCCCTGCTCAGCTTTTCCTCCCCAGCCCTATTGAGCAGAAAGAGCCCCCAAAGGGATGAGACCATTAAGAACAAGAAGGTTTTCTCCAAGGTGTCCTCCCGATGTCCAAGTGCTGTCCTTCAGACACTTGTCTGCTGCCACTGTAAAGACCACGAGATTAGTCAGAAACCTGGCCACAGCCTGAGTGAGACACCCCTGGGCCTCAGGCCAGAAGCACCCCAGGATCAAGAGTCAGTGGCCTGGACATAAGTGGCTGGTCTGAAAGTTCCATCCTCTCCTCTCCTATCCTTGGGAAGTGAGGAAAATGTCAGTGAAGTTGGGCCAGTGAAGGTGGTGATAACAAGCACCTTGCAGAGTGATCACGCAGGGAAGGGGACCCCGAGGCTGCTTGGCCTCCCTGCAGGTGGAGAGGAGAGGTGAATCCAGCGTACCACCCTCACCTCACCCTCCTCAAAACCACCGGAGCCTGGTTTTCTAGCTCCATCTGCTGTGTGATGGGGTGCTCTGCTTCTGAGAGCTCAGGTGTTACAGACATGAGGGGTGTTTCTGGGTGGGATGATGGACTGGAACAAGCATATGCTTTTAAGACTAGATGAGAGCGGAAAGATGCAGCAGCTTTCAGAGCAAGGCCTGGACCGGCAGCACCTGCATCCCAGGCCTGTTAGATGTGCAGATGCGTGGGGCTCCATTCCAGACGTACGGCATCAGGAACCTGTTCGTCATCCATTTATCTCCAAGCTCTCCAGGCTACGCTGATGCTCCCAGAAGTTTGAGAGCTGCTGCTCTAGCTGCATAGCCCGGTACATGAATTCATCAGCAACTCAACTCATTATCCTTGAGTCACAACCATCTGACAGCTCACCCTTCAGTGGATTTTCAGAGGCTGAAAACTGTGTGAGAGAAGATTGCCCATCTTTCTCCCTCAAAGTATCTGGTGGATTTGAACTGCGTACCTTTGATTTGGCAGCATAACTCCCTACCATTAGGCTACCAGCGGGGAAAATCAAGCTCTTGTTCTATATACTCTGAATGCCTGGGCTTCTTCTCAGAGGGGTTTCAGGCCCTGAAAACAATTAAAAAAAAATGTCCATGCTTTTTGACAAAGAAAAAATCCCTCCCCCCCCCCCCCCCCCCCCCCCATGTTCTCTGGTATCTATAAAATGTCTTTGGAACGGACTTAGTGCACATGAGTAAATTCTGAACTCTGATCTCTGAGGAGCTTCCTAGGGCAAGAAGACTCATGCTCTGGAGAGGGAGACACAGTAGGGATCGGAGTAGAATCAGGGAGACCATGTTTGAGTGGATGATCATATTTCCAGAAGACCACCTAGAAAGGCTCACTTGTTCCCACTTGCTACCAGAGAAGGGAGCCTCAGAAATTAAGCTGAATTTTCTCAGGAAGTAAGAACCTCCTGATTCCTAATACCATGTCCTTTAAAGTTCATGAGCCAGGAGAGCCATATTTCTACTTTACTAATAATTTCCAGGGTGCTTTGGTGGTGTTCAGAAGGAGATGTGGTGCTCACCCAAAGACTGTCTTTCTCTGTCAGTTTGAGTACACCAGGGCTCCGAGGTAGAAAGGTGGACAACCTCCTCCTACATGATTTACAGCCTCGAACATCCCCTAGAGGATCAGCTATGAGTTGGTTCCAACTCAAAGGCGTTAACTTGAGTTGAATAACTTCCCAGGCCATTCTCTTTTCTCCAACTTGGTTGTTTTCAGACTCCGTGAATTTGCTTCTTCAAGAACTAACCCAGTTCCCACTCCCAGCTCTCTTGCAGAGTCTAACCCACAGCAGACTTTTCTTCCTCTATCTTGTTTCCATGCGTGAGCCCATCATTATAGTGACTATTTCAATCTCTCAAGTAGAGTCTTTCTCTCCTTCACTGCCCCCTCCACCTTCCCCAGCACAATGGCTTTATTTCCAAGAGCTGGCCCCTCCTGACAACATGTCCAAAACATGTGAGGTGCTGTTTCACCGTCTTTGCCTCTTGAGGAGCACCCAGGGTGAACTTCAGAGATTATGAGGATGGTGTGAGATAGGGCAGGGCTCTGATCTGTTGTTCATAGGGTTGCTATGAGTCAAAGTCACCTCAGCGGCACCTAACAACGGCAACAGCAACATCCTGTTTCCACACTGCCCTCTGATTCACCACCCGTTTTCTCACTAGTAGACCAGCTAAACCACAGAGTAGGCATGAGGCATCAAGCAACTCAAGGAAGAAAGGAAGTACCATTTGCTTAGAAACCTTCCTGGGCCAGACTCTTTACTGAATTATTTCATTGCTCCCACACATAACTCTGTGAGATATGTAGGTGGCTATCCTCAAATTACAGATTAGACAGTTGCAGCTTATAGAGGCTGAGTAATTGCCCAGGGTCACACTGTTATCCAGGCCCAGAGGTGACTTTGGGATTCAGTTGCATCTGATGCTGAAATTCAGTATTTCCTTCCCACACCTTCCCTCCTGGAAAACCAGAAGGCCTGCATAATTAGCATAGATGGCCAGCTCTTGAGGAGTTGAGTTGTTCCGTATTTTCAAAAGAATTTACTGTGTAAGTTCAAAGGTACTTTACTTGGTCTAAATCCCAAATAGTCAGAAGTAAGTCTTTATCCTAGAAGTAGCCTACAGAACTTGTGAGCCTTCTATTGCCTTATGAGTGTTTGTTTATTGTGTGCAGTTACGGTATTGATAGCCCAAGATCGAGTCCACTGTTCCAAAGGAGCTGTGTGAGGGGGAAGACAAGAGGTGTGTAAACATAAGACTGACCTCCTGGTCACTCTTCTTGTATTACAGTGATAGTCCTCATGGGGAGACTACCTCGGCTGAAGACTCAACCCAGGATGTGACCACAGAGCACCACATGAGCGATGACGGTATGACCCTGCTCTCTGGAAAGTGGGGCCACCTGGGTGAATCAGACAAAGTGGCAATGGGCCCTAAGCACATACAGAAAACTCAACAGCCCCTCGCCTTCATTCCTTCTCTTCCTTGGAAAGGCAGCTTACCTTCTCAGATAGTTTGAGAATAGACTCTGTATTAAGCTGTGGTTGAAGAACTAGACCTCTGGTAGTTCTTCAGCCTTCTTGCTCCAACTTCCTGCCACTCATCCCCCTCCCAGCTTCTTGTCTAGTCTGAGACTTGCATAGTGCCCAGTACCTTGTCACAGCCCAGACTCCTTCCAGGTAGGGTCTGATGACTAAAGCCAAGAAGGTTCATTTGAAAAACAGCCTGGGGAATAAAGAAGCTGAGTGCCAAGCATCTCACAGAAGCCAGCTAGGGAGAGCAGGAATCAGGATGCAGAAAGCACATGCTTTCATGCCTGCCCACTGGAAAATGTGACCCTTCCCAAAGTACAGGCATAGGAGAGCTGAGCAGCCTGGCCGGTGTGCATCAAAAGGCGGAATGCCCAGCTGTCCTCGCAGGGCCTCCACTGTGCCCATGATTTATTAGGGTCTGTCCAGCCAGCATATTTTTTCCTCTTTCCAACCGATCCCACCTCCATTCCTGGATCACTTGGGCTCTGAAAATCTCAGCAGCTGACAAGGGGCCTCAGAATTTTCTGGGCACCAGAACAAAATGGCATAGTCTGTGGCGCATTCTCTACCTTGCTGTGAATTCTGGAACTTCAAGCCAACTTTTAAAGGAGGGGAGGGAGTGAAAAACAAAACAGAACTGCTTATTTTAGTCCTGATGTTGAGAAGGATCAGTCTGATCATTTGCCACTGTAGAAGAGGAAGCATATGAACTTGGAAAATGAGTATTTAGTTGGGGCCCAGTAGTGTGCCCAGTATTGCTAGAAAGTTTATGTCCCTTAATTCTATTCTAACAGATAAGAGTCTCTATTTTATAGTTAAGATAAAATTCAGACAGGTCAAGTCATAGACTCAGGGTTGAACGGAACTGAGATTGTAATATTTAGCCAGGCCTCAAAAGCTGAGGTTCCCCCACAACCCCGACTTCTCTGCCTCTGTGGTGATGTCTTAGCCCTGCTAATTCAGAGAGGAGACCCACCAACCAAGTCTATCTGGACACGCTCTTGTTTTGGTTTTTTGTTTTGTTTTGTTTTTTATTTTATTATTTTGTGTATATGTACCATCAAATTGTATCTGACTGGTACAGGAGATTGTCCCTCCTCCAGCAGAGCATCTGGTGGATTTGAACTGTGTGCCTCTGGGATTGCAGTGCAACTTCTTGCCACTAGGCCACCAGAGCTCCCTATAAGCTCTTGTTTTGTTTTTAAGCAGCCTCTCTGTACTACCTAGAAAGTCCTTTGGACAAATGCACGTGAACAGCGTGTTCAGTGAGCTGCTTTTTACACACTGGCCATCTTACTAATGTTAGTCAAAGAAACTCCTTATTTTTATCATGGACAACATCCTGGAGACCAGGTCTCTCTGAGTCTGCCTTTCACCCTGTTTCCTGCCCCCACCTAGAAGAGATAATGATAATAATAAGGACAATGAATGGCATTTACCAAACACTTAACCGTGGACCAGGCAATGTTCCAAGCACTTTACAAATTGTAATTAATTGACTTTTCTCATAATAGTATCTTGAGACAGGCACTCTTGTTATCTTCATTTTATTGACAAAGTCAGAAGTACACACAAAAAGTAAAAATGCATCACATTTTCATTTTCAAATCACTTACGTGCCTGTTTTTTCCATATACTGGTAGCAAGATATCTTTCTGTATTGGGCACTTTGAAAAGTTGATGAGGTAAGTTGTTTCCTGTTTATAAAGATTGGCGTTCTACTAAGGAGTGGACACATGAATTATTTAAATCCTGATGTGTTTTCTGTAGTCAAGAGGTGTTTTACAATCAGAAAAGAAAGAATGCCTCAGCATGTACGATAAGTGTGGTGACAGGGTAGGTACAAGGAGCCATGGAAACACCAAAGAAAATGCTGTGAAAGTAAATTGGATTTGAACTGAGTCTTGATGTGTTTCATCAGGCCAATGAGAGGGAGGACGTTCCAGGTGGAGGCAGGAACAGTGGCACCGTCTTTGTGGGAATTACCTGCCTTATAGACTCTCTGTGGCTTATTTTTCCCACGAGGCCATCAGTCCACCACTGTGAGTTCCTCTAACTGGGCTTTTTCACCCAATTTTCTCAAGGTCCTGGGTCCTAACAACACATTTCCTTCTCTCCCACCCCTCACAGAGTGTGAGCCCATTGAGGCCATTGCCAAGTTTGACTACGTGGGCCGGACGGCCCGAGAGCTGTCCTTCAAGAAGGGGGCGTCCTTGCTGCTGTATACACGGGCTTCTGACGACTGGTGGGAAGGCCGGCACAATGGCATTGACGGACTCATCCCCCATCAGTACATCGTGGTCCAAGACACGTACGTTGGGCTCTTGACGCCTTTAGGGATCACTGGCTGCCCTGTAGGAGTGAGACCTCATTCCTAGAACTTAGAAGGATATGGGAGACCAGCCTGCAGGGGGCGGCTAAGGAGATCCTGAGGTTCCACTGTTTCTCAAACATCTCCCGACCCTGAGGAGAATTGTTTTACTCTCTCCATCTTCTCCCTGCAGACCGCTCCCTGACCCATTTATTTTACAAACCTGCCAGCCTGCACTCATCTGCGTTCACACCTGATGCGTGCTACGCACAGTATTATTTGACTACCTACATCCCCTTTCTGGAAAGATCAGCTCAGGGAAAACATTTTAAAAAAAAGCCATGCCTACCCGCACCATTTGTGCCCCTGCTGGTTCTTTTCCACTCGCAAATGAAAGTAATGAGCTACATTTCCAGGAGAAATCTAGCTTAAGCAGCCTGGTGGAAATGACCCAATTTGGTTAACTGAACGCAGATGAGGTTGATTCGGGGAAAGATGAGAGAGAGGAGGGAAGGCCTGCCTGGGAGGGAGAGCCTGAGCAAGTCCCAGAGAGTTTTCATCCCGCATTCGGGAAACAGACCGAAAGGCTCTTCCCCTGATGCCCAAGCCAAGACTGCCTCCCTACCTCCACCCCCGAACCCCTCCCCTTGAATACCATGCTGTCAGTGTTTTTAGTTCTTCCCTTAATATTATTTTTTAAAGGTTGATATCCTGAATGAGTCTGCACCCTCCCAGCAGCCTCTCCCCGGCTCGTTCGTTCTGCAGGGAAATCTTCCTCCCTCTGTTGATAACATCGCAGTCCTGGTGGCCAGCTATGCGTGGACCCTCCCAAATTTAGCGTTATGACTTCACTGCGGGACCGAGAGAAGATGCATTGTGGGGGAGAAGGGGCTTTCTTTGTCATCAGTAGCCAGAGGGGCTGTGAGCACAGTGGAGAGACACTGGAAGCTCTGAGCCAGGCCCCATGCACTACGACCGTGTGACGGTGTCCAGAGCCACCATAGAGCTGACTGTCCTTACCCACCAGTGCTCAGCACTTCAGCAGATAATCTGCAGCCTGGACTTGCCGCCTCCTGCTCTAGGAGGGGGTCCCAGCACGGCTGCCCCGGGAAAGCAGCGTGGGGTAACAGGCAGAGGGCCTCAAATCCAGTCATGCCCCCACCCCCCGCAAGCCAAGCTTTCCCGAGGAGTTGAGAAGCCTGCAATGCCCAGCTGGATTATTTATTTTTATTTAAACAGCCCTCTGAAGGCCCTTAGGGTCCCTGCCTCTCTGCTCGCAGAGCCAGCCCAGCCAGGTGTGGGTGCTGCCTCAGAGCCGTGTGGGGTCACGCGTTATATGTGTGTTTGTGTGTGTGTGTATCGGGGGGCCATCTTGCCGATTTAACACTGCTTTTTGTGTTGTTGTTGTTGTTTTCCCCTCTTCCCTGCCTGCCTACCCCTTCTCCCCCAGCGAGGACGGTGTCGTGGAGAGGTCCAGCCCCAAGTCTGAGATTGAGGTCATTTCTGAGCCACCTGAAGAAAAGGTGACAGCCAGAGCGGGGGCCAGCTGTCCCAGTGGGGGTCATGTAGCCGATATTTATCTTGCAAACATCAACAAGTAAGCGCTGCTTTTCATTTTCTGCTCCCTGAATGACTTGCCACACCCCGCCTCACCCTCTGGCCTAACGCCCTTCCATATCTGTGCTGCACTTGGCGCCGGCTCCCAGCCTAACGGTCTATGTGTGCACTGCTACCACCAGCGGACAGGCCTGAGGGGCCTCCTGGGCCCCCCTCGCAGGCCCAGGTCTGCAGCTAGCTGCCATCATGCTGTGTAGAAGGGTGCTCTTCTCTGTCGCTATGGTGTCTGTCAGCTCAGGTCTTCCGGGCAACCTCCGGGCTGAAACTTTGGCCAAAGCTTTGGTCGTGTGGTGCAATTCCATTTCACACTGTTCCTCAGAGGCGCTTCCTCTTTTCCAGTTCTGACTTCAGTCATCTCTGATGTCCCCCTTGCCTCTCATCTGTCCAAAGAGCCAAGGTTTTGTTTGTCTCCAAGCAACTGTCACCTCAGGCCACAAAAAACCCAGCCCCCTGCTGTCCGTTCGGCTCCGTCTCATAGCGCCCCTGCAGGTCAGAGAAGAACTGCCCCATAGGGCTTCCAAAGCTGTGCATCTTTACATATTTTTACAAGACTACCACATCTTTCTCCCACTGCACTGTACCCCAGATGGGCTTATTTTGATACTGTGTGTCTGTTTCTCCCTTGTCCTGCGCCCACAACTGGAGGAGACGCTATGCCCCAAGGAATGCTTTCTCCAGAGCTCTCTACTCAGCCCCTGACCCCTAGCTCCCTTTATTCTACCCTTTCACAGTGGTAGAATTTTTTTTTTTCCTATTGCTTCAGTCCTATGTGTTTTTGTGCCCTGTCCAGTCCCTTTGCAAATCCCTACTCCTGTCCAGCAGGCTCTTGACTCTGACCTCCAGCTTTCATTGTGGCTTTTAGCAACACCCTGGGGTTTTCACTCCGCCCACACCCGATCTGGCTGTCTCGAGGGAGTCCATGGCTGTGTGCTGCTGCCTCCCCTAGAGACAGACGCTCAGGTTCTTGGAGAACTAATCTCATCTCAAGGGGCCAGACACCAAGTCCCAAAGCCTGCCGACCTCTTTCTGCCAGACCCTGAACTCTTGGCCCACTGCCAGCGGGATGACAAGCCCCAGGCCGCTCCTGATGAATATGGATTGGAGATGATGTACAGTGTTTATTCCCCTCTGGCTTGGGAGGAATGAAACGATTTGCACATTGAAAACCTGTTAACCGTAGCCTCTGGACACTGAAACTGGAAGGAGAATAAAAGATGCTTGTTGTTTTTAAACTGCACCAGGTCGCCCGAATCTCTTGGCTTTTTTCCACCCTGGCGGTGGAAGGGGGTGTGGTTGGGGCACGTGGCTGTTTTCCATCCCTTTTCACCCTCAAGTGCGTAAAGTTGCTTATTCAGCTCACTTAACTCAGTGTAGTTATAACTTAAGTCAAGCCAGTAAAAAGGAAAAAAAAAAGAAAGACTGAAGGTTTTATTACTTTTCCTCCAGCATACATGCCCTGCTGGAAGCGTGAGCTAGTAAAGTGTATGTGGCCTAATCACATTTCCCCCCGTTAATTATATCCCTATAATCACAAGATTGGGAACCTGTAATTAACAGTAAACCAAGGCAGAATTTGTGGAGGGTGAGTCTGTTAATTAGTTAGGTACATATTTTTAAGCCATCACTTCGTTGATGCCATTTGTACAAGGGAGTCAGAGAAAGCTGTGGATGAAATCATCCGAAGAGAAACATCCGGTGGAAAACCAAAAGCACTTCCTGTGAACTCCTTGCTTGGTGGCATCTGCTTGCCGGTGACGGGGTTCTTGGAAGATAAGCCTCCTTTACCTCTTCAGACCCTGGCAAGGTGTCTTTGGAGTGAGCCTGCCTTTCTACCTCACCACTTGCCCCCCATATGCGCCTGTGGCTTCTCGGAGGCTCTGTTCTCTATCATCTCTGGGCCTCCACACGTGGTGACACCTCCCCTGGTCAACTCCTCCTCTTCCTTAAGAATCAGGCCAAAGATAGGATCTAGGGCAAGCCTTTCTGAGACCCCTGAGCTCCCCAGGGCTGATTTAGGGACCCTCAGTTGGTATTCACAAAGTGTCATCAGTAGCTGTGTAAAAGCGTCTATACCCCCAAATTTAGATTTCCCAGCTGACTGAGACCTCCTTAAAAAAAGACGTTTTCCTTCTCTTTCTGTCCTCAGGGCCTGACCCAAAGCAGCCACTCCACAAACATGCCTTCTCAGCACTTTTAGCTTTTGTGTGTCTACCATCCTTGAGCAGAAAAAGCAGGTCAAGCAACAAGTTATTAGGATACGACATTCCATTCCCTTTAGGTTCCACACATTTATTGAGCACCTATTGTATGCCAAGCACCGGTGCTAATCATTCAGAGATGAACATGACATGGTGCGTAGCCTCAAGAGTTCATTATCTGGCAAGACCAATATCCTGTCTATGGACAGATGCCATCGATGCTCTGAAAGAGCAGAGGAAAGTGTAGTTGGCTCTGTCAGAGGTTCGAGTTAGTGGTCTTGAGAAACGCTGAAGAGGAGGGGTGGTTATAGGACTCTGAGGACGTCAGTTCTCTATAAAAATCTGATGACAACCGAAAATGGCATTTTTCAGCAGCAGGCAACACACGTACGACAAGCAGCCAATTCCCCCTTCCCCCTTGAAGAGCCACACCATTCTGTAGCTAAAACTCAGAAGGAATATTTACGGAGTCGCTCCTCTGGGTCAGGACCCAGGCCTGGAAAGGTGCAGGAGACCTCACCCATGAGCAGGGTGAGGACAGTCAGAAAACAACCCTGCTCCTGATCCTTTGGTTTTTCCATCCATCTTCAACTCTGCCCAAATCTCCCTTAATAGACACAAAATCAGAGCTGCCCACCTACCACCCTGAAATAGAAGTTCCACTGCTTCTTACACTGTTGCGTACCACTGAGTTGGAATCGACCCAGAGCTGACCCTCTAGTGGGTTTTCAGAGGCAGTTAATCACAAAGGAGACGTTTGCGCATCCTTCTCCCGAGGAGCAGATAGTGGATTTGAACTGCGTGCTTTTGGGATTGCAGCACAGCGTCTTGCCACTGGGCCACCAGAGCTCCCTCTTCTTACATTAGGTCTTTTAAAATCTAATGCCAACAGAAAGTGAAATTATTCAGCAGCAGGCAACACCCATACAACTAGAGCCCAAGTCCCCCCAACACCCTGGAAGATCCAAACCATTCCACAGAAGAGCCTTGAGAGATCCAATACAGTGACCCAGAGCCAGGGTTTAGCCCAGTGCTAGATGGCTTGGCGTGAAGATGTATTTTCATCCCAAGAAAATGCACAAACTTGGCCCTAACTCCATGGTACTGACTCTTCTAAAAATATTCCATTCCACATTAGCAGAATAAGCAATATGAGCTGCTCTCCAGAACCCAAGTGATTCAGTCTCATTGTAGTTGGACCAAGGGACATGTTAACGTTTGGAACGGTCCGTGCCCCTTCCCATCAGCCCTCTACCTTCTGGTGGTGGTAAGCTCCCCCTTATGCCTGGGACCTGCGGTTTCTATGCAAAGCAGGCAACGAAAGGGCCTTTCCATGAGTCTCCCATTAAACGGTCATTTAGATTTTTTCCTGACAGCATCTTACATCTTGAGAAGTCAAAACGCACAACCACCAAGTAAGTATCCGTTCCTCCTCTGCCTGGTCAGCTTGGGGGCGGCAGGGGGACTCAGAGATGGAGAAACCACGGGAAGGTGAGCTGAGGAGAGTGTGCTGTGTCCCTCTCCTTCCAGAAATCCCTGGGTGCCAACCACTGCCCCCTCGCTCACCCTTGCTCCTCAGAGCCAATGTTCCCTGACCACACTGCCCTTTCTGTTTGTGATTGAAGGCAAAGGAAGCGGCCGGAATCTGGGAGCATCCGGAAAACATTTCGGAGCGACGGCCACGGGCTGAGCAGTTCCCTTACCGACTCCTCCCCGGGGGTGGGGGCCAGCTGCCGCCCATCCTCCCAGCCCATCATGAGCCAGAGTCTCCCCAAAGAAGGATCAGATAAGTGCTCAGTCAGTGGGCACGGGAGCCTCAACTCCATCAGCCGCCACTCATCCCTGAAGAATCGGCTGGACAGTCCGCAGATCCGGAAGACGGTGACGGCGGGAAGGTCAAAAAGCTTCAACAACCATCGGCCCATGGACCCGGAGGTCATTGCACAGGTAACTGAGGGCTCCGGGACCTAGCATGCGTCTACACTGAGTGCAGCCCATCCCTTGTCACAGAACTCGAGTAGAACGGATCTTTGTACATTGTAAATGGAGACTGAAAAAGACTGCTTGCCCAGGAATTTGTATATTCTTTTCCTAAAGAACCTGATGATGGAATACAGGACGTCAGGGTCCTTGCTCATACAATGGCTGTTTGTTAGCCTGTTAATAATTTTTAAAGCCAGTTTATTTTTGAGGTTTTTTTAAAAAAAAATTTATAGTCACTTTTTTTTGAGTGAATATTTACCAATCATACTGCAGTTTTGTTCAATCATTCATAAACATTTCATTTCATGAGACCAGTTAAAATATATTTATGTAATCAATTACAGTGGCTAATCAAACCCACCTTCTATATTGGCTTTCCCTTCAGCCAAATTAATCTGTTGATTAATAAATACACTACTTTGATAGAGTCCTTTCAGATCTTGGTAACCCAAGTTCCTGAGGAACATTAGTGTTGTTGGCTGGAGGTTGAAGCTTAGGTGGAGTTCTGGCCATATTCTGGTATTTTCATCCTCGTCACCCCACTTCCCACGACTGGTGTCTGGGCTTCTGATGAGTTAGGAGATCAATGAATAAGCCACTCCTGGTCTTGAAGGCCCAGACATACTCTAACCACTGGGGTTTACGGAGCAGAAGGGGTTCCTGTCCAGCCCTCCCTTGGAGTAGAGATGAGCACCCCAATTTCAGGCTCTTCTGCCCATCTGTGCACCTCACTGACAACTCTCTGTTTTCCATGAACTATTAGAGATCCAACCCCATCTCTAAAAATCCGACTACCGGGGCCACTCCAAGCAGTTCATTCCGACGTCTCTCCCAACTCTATAATTTTCATTAGACCAGGTAGGAATGAAGGGCTCTCTGCAGTCCACATGTCTCAACTGTGTTGAGATTCTCTTCACCCCTCCTTCCAGGGGATGACAGAGTCTGGGTATGGTCTCTTGGCTTAATTGTGGTGCTCTGCTTAAGGGAGGTGTTCCTGGCAAGCACAGGATTAAGCCCTGGGCCAGAGATGTCTTGCTTTGCTACCCTTCTCTTTCTGTGCCTCTACTTAAGCTCTTGGCTGCAGTCTGCCTCACGCACCTTGGGAATCCTCCCAGCTCCCCCTCTGGCCAGGTGCTCATAGCGTTGGCTGGGACAGGCTTGAGCTGCAGAATGGGACTAGGGGCGGGAGGGAGTTCCTCCTGAGCATTCGTAAGGTTTGAGCACGTTGTGGAGACGAGTGAGTTTGAATCATTGCCAGCAGAATGTGTGTCTCACTCTGTAAGACAAAGAATCCTTAACTTTGGAGCATACAATCTTTAAACATGAGCCGAATTCCAAGAGAAGAGAAAAATATCTGGTGTGATGTAGGGGTGCCAAGCACACATTTGTGGGGAGAGGGAGGGAGGGAGAGAGCTGGGAGGTCCCCCTGAGAAGAGTTGGCTTGCGTACAAAGGTTCTTTGGTTCTCTGGGACTGCTGCTTCCTGAAAGCTGGAGTGTTGCACTGTGATTTGAGCAGCGCGATTGTCACCTGTGTGGACTCTGGCTCCCCCTTCTGGTCACTAGGTGATCCCCTCTTCTCGTGGAGAAGGAAGAAGGAAATGGGCATCATCAAGCTGGACCTTGAGGAGGTGGGAGTGGGGCCATCCTGATGACCTTTAGAGAGGAGATGCTTGGACCTTCCCTCAACCCTTGAGGAAGAGGGATCTCCCTGACCTTTGACCTTCAAGCCCCAAAGAAGAAAAAAAATCATACTTCATCTCTACAGCTTTTCAAAATCTATAGATATTTATTACAATTATATAAAAGTAAAGAGGCTAAGTTAATGAGTACCCATGGATTCATTGCCCAACCCCAAAACCACTCTCACTACATGAGTGCCCCCCCTTCTACCGCTCCCCTCCCACTGCCACGTTGTCCGTTAATATCTCAGTATGTATCTCTACAGCCTGCAGGCTCATTTACAAAAGAATCTCTATTATGCTTTCAAAGGAACCCTGGTAGCACAGTGCTTAGTATGATCAGTTTATAAATGAAAGGTCAGCAGTTCAAACCCGCAAAGCCGCTCTATGGGGGAGGACTTGGCAATCTGCTCCTATAAAGAATGCAGTCTAGGAGACTGTGGGGCAGGTCTGCTGTGTCCCATGAAGGTCACCCATTGTGTCACCATGAATCAGGATCACCTCGAGAGCACACAGTGACAGTGGTATTTTTTTTTTTAACTTTTTATTTTATTCTGGTTTACTTACAAATTCCATATACATTGGTTTTCACACTGGATCTTTCCCATTTCCTTAACTCACTCCTCCTCCACCCATCAGATTGTGCTCCCACCGCCCCACCCTTAGACCCTCATACATGTTTTACTAGTTACCTATTCCTACAATAATGGTCTCGTACAGTATTTGTCCTTACGGAACTGAGTTAATTCACTTTCCGTAATGCTCTCCATTCCCTCTCAAGGTGGGTAGTGATTTACAAAATCATTCTCTGCCTCCCCCACTACTTCCCACAGTGAAAGCATTTAATAGCTTCGAGGACGTGGACCAACTAACTGAATTATCTGGGCAACTCCCTGCAGTTGGTTTCTTCTTGATTTGGCGTAGGTTATCAAAACAGGGTCCTTCGGGACATGACGCATGCTGGACTCACTGCCGCCTCCTCCCTGTGTTGCAGGATATCGAGGCCACCATGAACTCTGCCCTGAACGAGCTGCGGGAGCTGGAACGCCAGAGCAACGTCAAGCACACCCCTGACGTGGTTCTGGACACCTTGGAGCCCCTCAAAACCTCCCCGGTGGTGGCCCCCACCTCAGAGCCCTCCAGCCCCCTGCACACCCAGCTCCTCAAGGACCCTGAGCCCGCCTTCCAGCGCAGCGCCAGCACCGCTGGGGACATCGCCTGCGCCTTCCGGCCCGTCAAGTCTGTCAAGGCAGCTGCCCCAGTCAAACCGCCGGCCACCCGACCCAAGCCCGCCGTCTTCCCCAAGACAAACACCACCAGTCCCGCTGTCAATTCATCCGCTTCCCCACAGTCTACTGACAAGTCCTGTACTGTCTGATCGATATAATTTAAGTGTTCTAGACAAGGGGACTATAGAGACTGAAGACTGTTATTAAAAATCTTCCTATTTAACTAGCTTGGGGACTTCAGTTGAACATTAGAGTTTAAGTTGTTCTTGCAGGAATTAGCCTTCCCGACTCCCAGAACCTTGAGAATGATGCCCTTGTTAAGGCCCTTCCTTCCCTCTCCCACTGCCCTCTGCTTCCTCCAGTCGTGGTAATCCAGTCAGTTACAGTACATGCCATTCTTAGGTTAGCCAGAGATAGGGTTTTTTTCATTATCAGGTCACTGTGAAATTTGGCGAGGCAAGCCATCAAGAGGTGGGCTCAAGTCTCAGTCCTCCCAAGCCACAGGGCATCTCTTGGCTGTCAGCATCCAACAGTGGCATCCTGTTTTGGGGTACTGATTATAGAGAATCATATATAGTCCATTCTTTGTTTTACACGTGTGCGCGCACACACAGACACAATACTTGTAGGTTTTTTAGTCTCTGGCATGTGTAGCCTCTCCTGGTCTTAGACCAGCCTCTTTGTAAGTTATTGTGGCAGTTCACACAGCTGCCACCTGGGGACCCTGTTTCCGTTAAAATCCTTGTTCTGTCTGGGCCCAAGAACCTAGTCTTGGAAATCTCTCCACCTTTATGAAGTTAAGCAGGATGGGACTCGATCCTGGAATTAATTGTTTTGGGGCTGGGGGCTTTCTCTCTGAACATTCTTTCTTCCTGTGACTTGGTCATTGGTGTTTGCTTTTACTCTCTTCCACCACTGGAAGTACAACCCGATCGTATGAAGGCACTTCTACCCTTTCTTTCTGAATGTATAGACATTTCCTGGGTTCCTGTCTTTGTCTCTGATGGATCATTTTCCATTTGAAACATTTACCTGGATAAGACAGTTTTACAGCCAGTTCCTCTAAGGGTATGGAGTTTTGAGGGTTCAGTTATTTATGGCAGATTTCAAAAAGGTAAAAAATAGGTCCTCCTCCTTCCTACTTTTTTAGGCACTTAAACCGTAAAATTCATTCTCCTCTATTTATACATATTTTTAAAAAAATCAGCCTTGCTAACCCCAAAATTGCCCCCAATGAGAACTTGTGGACTAAATTTACCCCTTAGTTTGGTTATTATACAAGGTCTCTCTTCGTGCTCGCTTCGGCAGCACATATACTAAAAAAAAAAAAATTGGAACGATACAGAGAAGATTAGCATGGCCCCTGCACAAGGATGACACGCAAATTCGTGAAGCGTTCCATATAAAAAAAAAACAAACAAGGTCTCTCTTCGGTGGCCAGTGGTAGTTTTGAGAGCTCCTGTTTGATTGAAGAAAAACACTAACCCGGTCCAAACAAGAACCACTAAAGGAGTTTGGACTTTGCAGCTGGATGTCTTCCTAAGGCCAGACTCTAAATGAAGTAAATAAAATATTTGTTACTATGTATTTTAATCTTTCTCTAGTCTTGTTCTGAGTCTCTTCCTAAAAGCAAAAATGATACCCTTCTTTGCTCTAATCTAACCTCCAAGTCCCCTGGCCTCCAACATCGTGCTGTGCAGGAACACCAGGACCGGGTACATTTACCTCCAGGGTCTCAGGGCACGAGTCTCAGACAGCCACTGGAGTTAAAGATGAAGCATGTGCCACAGCGTTTTCTGGTTTTAAAGCTTCACTTTGAAGCACTATTCTTTCTTATTCTTCAGGAGAGATGATGGGTTACCATTAGGGAGAGAAATCTGACTTATCTTCTCTTTGACATAGATCCTTTGTGGACCAACATTTTGAAGTTGGTTGTTTTATCTGTGGAAGGTGGTCAATTTTCCTTTCTGTATGAAGGGAAAACACTTTTTTTCTTTCTTTTTTTTTTTTTTTAGGGCAATCCTAATTAGAAGGGTTTTCTGGAACCCCAGAGAACAATCCCAAGAGCTTGAAGGGAAAACTCATCACTACCTGTACTGAGTCAGCCTGTAAGAGACAACCCAAGACCTTGGAATTTGTGGGTTTGTAGCTGCTCCCTTGAGTGGCCTGTCCTGCTCTGTCATCTGTGCTCACACCGATCCTGGACCAACAGGGCACTTTCAAAGCCCAGGATCTGGTTCCTTGGCCAAAAATGCAACCTGATCCTTCACTTTACATTCCTCTGAATCCAGCTGATCCATTTGGTGCCCTTGCTCACCCTGGCCTGGCTCTGAGAGTAAAGGCAAAGCCTTCCTAAAGTCAGCGTCTTGGACCTGTCCCTTTGCTTCCTACCTTATTTCTGCTTCATCCTCATGCCTGACTTGTGTTTTCCCGTCCCCTTGGTCAGAGTCCGTCGGCCGATCTGCATCGCAAACTGAACCACGAATGAGTGGGCACCTCTTAAACCACGTCTCAGTGCCCCCTCCGCTTGGGAAGCAGAGCTGTCTTCCTCATCTCTGGTGCTCTTGACACCTCTGAGATAGTCATGTCAGGACAAGTGGGGGCCCCTAGGGAGAGTCCTTCTTTCTCGGCAGAGCTCATGGCAATCAACTGGAATTGAGGTTGCACACTGTGGTTTTAGACTGAGAAAGCCAAATGGAGCTGGCCACCCAGGGCCTCGGGAGACCAGATTTCCTCAGTCTGCCCAGCGTGATGCATCAGAGCCTGCTCCGCCCTCGTGGCACAGACCCCCCCCCCCCTTCCCAGTATGAACTCTGCAGGGTCAGTCTTTGGGGGAGAGAAGTGGGGTGGGGGCGATCTGCATCCCAGCATGGAAAACTGAGGAGTTTGCAGCCAACAGCCTAGAAATGCTTGTCTCAGCCGGCCTCCTCAGGTTTCACCTCAAGGAGGAGAAAGATGCCTGCAGCGAGAGGAACCAACCGCTGGGAGGGCTGGTGCATATGTACTTCATGTTCAGAAGAGAAACCTGATCTTCCAGGGAATTGCAATGTTGTGGCGTCTGACTTGTATGTCACGTTTGTGTAAAATGGTATATTCTTTAAAATAGTGTTGATAACTGGAATATTGTATGTATGCTTGGTGATGCTTTGTATGAACCTAAGACTGTCACTCAACAGATGTTGGATTGGGGAAAATCCAAAGCACAACTTCAAAATAAAATACATTTTTAGGTTTCGATGCTGCAGTTCATATCCCTTGCCCACTCCCTAAAATCTCTGAGCCAGGAGTCCAGCTGCCCGGGAGAGACTGTGATTCGTCTCCTCTCACGGAACCCTGCCTAACGACAGACGGAGAGATGAGGTGACTTCAGGAGCCAACCACCTTCTCTCTCCCGCCTCCAAAACAGAGTTGCTTTTCGAAAGTGACTTCTCCCCCAGCATTTCTGCTTAGCCTTTGCGTGGAAGCGGGCAGGGTTTGTGGGAAGCCTCCCAGCTCCCCATTGGGCAGTGTGTTGCCATGAGAACCATTTCCCTCCTAGATTCCATCCTTCCTGTTTTCAATGAGGGCTTTTCTCATTCTGTCCCAAGTCAGACTCTCTGCTTGAAGCACAGGAGGCTCAGAAGTGCATGTGAATCTTTGCCAGCTACAACCAAGAGTGACTGAAGATTTTATTCCCTCTGCAACCAAAGCCCCGAATCGTTCTGTCCTCAGCAGCCCCCTGCCTCTGGGAGACGAGCTGACCAGTGTGCCTGTGCTGTTGGTATGGAATTGTTCAGACACTCAGTGAGGGCTGCAGGGTGCGTACAGGAGATGCCTCTCTCTCTCTCCCATTTATTCCAGCAGAACCTAAGTTCAGGGATGACAAAATGCTTCCCAGAGCTCCCTGGGACCCACACTTAGTTTGTAGACTTAATTCTAATAGCACAGACTTCTGAAGAGGTATCCCATCTAAGGGAGTGCCCACCGCAGTTGGTAGTGGTTAATGCAAGGTAGCCTACCACTAGGCCCAGACTGTTGTTGTTGTGTACCATAGAGTCGGAACCGACCCATAGCTGACCCTGCGGCAGGTTTTCAGAGTCGGTTAACTGAATGGGAAGAGACTGCCCATCCTTCTCCCGTGGAGCAGCTGGTGGCCTCAAACCACACGCCTTCGGAATTACAGTACAGCTTCTAGACTTAGATTAGACCCTTTCTATCCTCTGCTTCTGTGTGCCAGCTCTGTGATGTGTGTCATTGACCCAGCGTCTCAAGCCCTTTGTCCTGCCGTTTCTTCTCCCTGTGTTAGTGATTATAGCTCCATCTCCAGGGCGGAGCGCCGCTTGCCAGGCCCTTGGCCTTTGGTAAGCTGAGGCTCTTCAGCCACACTGGATATATGTGAGTCCCTGCTGCTCGAGTGGAGAGGACAAGGACAATGGGAATGACAGGGAACACCCCAGGAGCTGTGAGATGCACCCAGTTATGCTGTGAGCAAAAGATCAAAAAGCCTTTTCAGGAACCGTAAGGCAAAGGCAGGCTGTTGTTCGGGTCAGTGGGGTGGGGGTGGAGGGGTCCTGTTTACTCTCTGGTTCCTTGTCTTCTGTAGAGTTGATAGGAATGAGAACAGACTCAGTGGCACCTAACAATAGTAATTCATCTCATCCAATTTGATGCAAACTAATGACCAGGGGGGGAAAGTCCAACAGACAATAGTTAATCTTCCAACTCAATAAGGAGTTCTGGTGATGTAGGAGCTCAAGCTGAACCTACTGGAAGGAAGCTATGAGTCTGATCTGATGCCACAGCGAATAAATGAGATGACTTGGTGGAAACTATAGTGGCAATGAAGAAAAACAAAAGAACCTAACCCGTTAACTTGGAGTCGATTGCAACTCCTAATGGCCCCATGTGTGTCAGGGTAGAACCACGCTCCAAAGGGCCTTCAGTGGCGGAGTTTTCAGGAGCAGGCAGTGGGGCGGCTCCCCCAGCGAGCCAACAGGAGTCGTCACCCCCAACCTCTCCCGCAAGCACATGATCTGTCTGTCTGCACCACGGTGTCTCCCAGCCAGTGATGAGTTAGCAATGAGTGTGGTGCGCTCAAAATGCGAGCCGTTCCATCCAGACGCAAACAAAATTGTACCCGTGAGCCTCGAAAATGATAGTGCATTTGGTTTTTAATCACAGGTCCATGATTTGAATCCACCAGCCATCATTGTACAGGAGAAAGACATTTCCATAAAGATTTATAGGCTTGGAAACCCTGTAGGACTGTTCTCGGTCCTACAGGATCACTGTGAATGGGAATCGACCCAAGGTAGTGAGTTTTAAGCTAAATGTATAACTATAGATGGTGGTGGTGGTTGTTGCTATGTGCTGTCGAGCTGTCGATTCACATAGCTATATGAGGTTTTCTTTCACTCAAGAGTTGGAAGCTTTGCTGCCTTGTGTGCCCCAGCAGGCATGAGACCTCTCCATGAGAGAAACCGCCTTAGGGCAGTGAAGTGGGTAGGTGGCACTTTCCTTCTAGTCAGGCTGTACTCTAAAGGGACCAAAACAAAAACTAAGTGGTAGTCTGAAAGCAAAGCAGGGTGCTGAGATGGTGCCTGTGTTGGTCAAGAAACACCATCATGAGGAAAGGGAGTGTGGGAAGTCTAGACTTCTGCTTGTCCTGATAAAGCTGTGCTATTTATCAGACGTTTGAGTGAAAAAATCAAGCAGATACTTAGGTGTATGGATCTGGAGGTTTAGAGAGATGGTATAACAGAAAACAAATTTAAGAATTATTATTGCATTATATTCTTATTCCTTAAATTTGAGAAGAACAAGTAGATGGCAACAAGAATTTAAAAAACAACAACACAAAACCCAACACCCAAAATGGGAACTCACTGCTTTGGATGTGGGAACTGACTCATAACTGACCCTCCAGTGGGTTTTCTGAGGCTGTAAATTGCATGGGAGATGATTGCTCATCTTTCTACAGTGGAGCAGGTGTTGGAGTCAAGCAGCCAGAGGGGTGTCACCATTGGGTTAGCTGTGAAACTCTTTAAGATTAGGCTACCAGGAAGGGAGCTCTGGTGGCCTAGTGGTAAGAAGCTGCACTGCAATCCCAGAGGTGCACGGTTTGAATCCACCAGATCCTCTGCTGAAGAAGGAGGGACAATCTCCTCCTGTACCAGTCAGGTCTCATTTGACAGTACACACACAAAAAATAAAGTTTTTAAAAAAATATTGGGCTACCAGGGCTCCCTAGGGGGGAAAAGAATTGTGTGTGCCTTTGAGTCAACCACAACTCATAGTGACCCTATGTACAATA